ATATTTGAACACATTTCTCCAACATGTGATGACATCTTCCCCTGCAGTGACAACTTTCAGTCGGCCTAACATTCTGTCTTGACACTGGCTGGAATCTCGGCCTCGATCCCAGCCTGACTTAGTTTCCATTTGGTTTTGCTGCAGCAGGTCCAGGTAAGTCTAACTTTGCTAGATGTGGACATTTATCTCTCATATGTCCAGGATCCCGACAAACATAACACCTAAGTTTCCTGGGCCTCTGCAACGATTTAGCGAATATTTCTAAACGCTGATCTATCAACTTGACAACAGCATCCACAGTCAAACCCTCATTTGACACACTGGTTCGAAACCTAGCAATCCGCTCACACGTTTCGTGTTTCCTGCTTTTTGTCCCTCAACTGCCTCAAACTCTACACCATGAGCAATTGCTTCCTCTAATGTTTGGGGATGCAAACGCAATGTGTTTCTTCATATTGAAATTCAACAACCCTGTCAAAACTGGTCGATGACATGTGGCTCCAAGCGAAACAAAGGTGGCATCTGGATACGCCAAAAGTGCCAATCTCCGCAACTGGTAACCATAGTCAGCCACTGACTCATCCTTGCCCTGTCTAAGGTTCCCTAAACTCAGTCCGAAAAGCTACACCTCTTTCTCTAGGATTGAACCTCTGAGTTAGTACACCTTTAATTGCACTGTAATCACTCAACTGTAATAGCGTAAGGCTACTGAGAAGCTTTTGAGCTGTACCACGTAAACACATAGTTAACTGTTGTGCTTTTTCTCCACTAGACCACCCATTCCATGCAGCAACTTGTTCAAAATGAACAAGAAAATCGGGCCATTCAACTTTTTACCGTCAAAAGTATCCAGTCTAACTTCACGATGGGTAGGTTTCGTGTCACGAATGGTTGCACAAATGAGCTATCCCCATCACTATGATAAACCCTATCACCTGTCCAGTTAGAATCCATCAAAGAAGTATTCGACATCGGACCAGGAACCAACCCTGCTGCTGAAGGTGCCCTCTGATTGTATCTACAGAATTCATTCTGCCTATCAAAAAGTGTCTATCTACAAATGGAACACCAAAAATGTACAGAGCGTCTATCCTGTCTATCGCTTCTACCATAAGTAGACTCCTTGCTGAAAATTCAGCATTGCTTCATTCACAGATGATGGAATACCTATTATCTCACTATTACCGGCTTGTGTACTGACACTTGGGAGTGGATGAGATGAACCAATGTTTTCAACTGAACGACAAACATTAGGTGTAGAGGTTGCAAATCCCACTTGACATAAATCTGACAAGTCAATAAGAGCATGATCCAGATTATCTGGAGGGACTCAACCTGATCATGTGCCCTGGAAAATAAATCATGTGTCTCCCCTGATTCCATTTTGTTTTACTATAGATGCTGCAAAACCAAGAACTTTACAATTCTACTTCTAAACGTACTCTATGAATGTACTTTTGACCTCCAATCAGTTTCAACAGGATATACCTGTATGATGAAACAGACCTTGATTCACATAATAAAACTACAAAATGTAATACTTTTACTTGTTTTGGGGATTTTTATTTTTCTTACTTGTTACTTATTCTGTCAAGAATCAATTAGTTTTCACCCAAAAATGACAAAACAATCCTGGTCTCGGCACCAAATCTGTAATAGGCGCCTCCGCTGAGCGAGGTCACCCAGTGACAGTAAGGTTCATATATGTCATGGTTCGATGTTGTTATTTAACGCTCCTCGTTGTGGACTTTGCGTTGTGTATTTTTAATTAGATGTTAATCTGGTACCTGGAGAGCGGAACCTTTCATGGACCTTATTTCAGGTTCTATGGTTGTTCAAGTCATTGTAAAGATTCTTCCCAAAATAAGAACAAAGTTCAGATTTTGCCAAATAAATACAGTTTATTAATTAATAAAACAAACTAAGCCAAACTTAACAAAATAAATAGAAGCCAGCATCACACACACTCACAACTAGCAGCCTATAAGACCCAAAGAAAAAGAAAGTCCTAACTAATTTATTCCTACATACAAAGCCTACTCTAATCCTATCGTTTCCCCAACCCACTAAATGTTCTCCTACTCTACATGCAAAATAATACTATATAAAACCTAGGGGAAAGGAGGAAGACCTCCTGACTTACTGTTCGGTCAGGATGTCCTGAAGCAAGCGACTTCTCTGAGCGTTACAGGCCCTTAAATACCCTGGGCGCGCTAACCTTTGACTCCGGGAAAAGTAGGCCTAACTCCCATTGGCCCGCAATGGAGTCAGCCGACCAATCACGACAGCTCTACCATACCGCACTCGGAATGCAAAACAGAATACACACCGGGCCACGGCAATCCGAACACGGCATGGCAGCGCATGCCGTGACTGTCATCTGTCCGGGAAAGGAATAATTCCAACGGAATTTTACAGCCAAACGAAGGTAAAAGTGGAATTTTATTAACTACAAGCAGCCTCTGAGAAATCACTTACTCCCGAAACTGCTACGTAAAACTTCCCACTAAATATATATATTCCAACCCCAATAATGTGAAAAGAAAATAACTTCTATTCCCAACAAAACCCATTTTCCTACACAGTGATACAGAATTTGTGGCCTGCCATAAGTCCAGACCTATTACCTGAAACATACCAGAATTTGTGCGCTGACATAGCCATGTTCTACAGGGGATCAGCTACGAAGGAAATTACCTTTTTACTTCCCAGACACGGCTGATTGGGGACTATTATGTAGTGTTGACAGAGAGGAGGATGTTTGTTGAAAATGTGAAAGTTTGGATTTAGTGTAATTGCAATGCAGAATATTTGGCATTGATATAACAGGTAGAGGATTTATTACAGACCATGGTCTCCTAGCAAAGACTCGTCGTGCATTCGTACGTGCCCCTCTCTCTCTCTCTCTCTGTGTGTGTGTGTGTGTGTGCCATTTGCCATTTGCCAAATATATAATGGTTCATTTAATCTGTGACCTCTCTGATCTACACTAAGCGGCAAAAGCGTTACCCTCCTACCTTTAGGCCTAAAAAATGCTTGCGGTTGTGTGTGTGTGTGGTAAATATTCCTGCCGAACCTAACAATAATACTTCCACATAATGATGTAAATTTATTTTCTGACACCTATTAGGAATTTTGCAAAAAACAAAAACCGATATACACTAAGCGGAAAAAGAATCGGAACCATAACCCTCCTGGGCCTTATGAATTACTTCAACACTATCAAAGATATTTTACAAGGTTTTAGTTGAGAAGAAACCTTAACAACCCAGCTTTATGTAAATCACGAAAACATTCTCAAATGCATTCATATTTAGGTGTAATGCATCTTTTCAGAAGAGTTAAATTGTCCTATTTTCGTCCGTGCCGAAATGAACGAATAACAGTGATTTAGGTGTCCAAAAGAAAGGTTGAAATAAAATTCTGCTTTGAGACAAAGATAAACCATTATAGTCAACATTTTTCATCTATTAATACAAGAAACAACTGTTGTAGAGTGTAAAATTGTAAAATAATCACTCCTATGATTTCAGTCTTTTAAAACGTTTTCTGCTGATTTGCATTAGTGAAAACAAGTAAAACGTGTCTTTGATATTTTGACAAAATGTTTAGGAACATCTCAAATTATCTTTGTTAACATTTTTGCTTGCAAAGTTACATTTGTCCATTTTTTGTTTACACATAGTAATATAAATCGCCAAAACACAGCAATATTCAAGCAGTATTTGCATCCATTTCAAATGTAGGATGATTTTATAGGGTATAAAGAGAGACTAGAATGCATGATGTGATTCACAAGTACAAGAAATATGCCACAATTAACAGCTGAAGGAGAGAATGAACCATTGGGAAGGTGCAGATGGGGTCGACATACAATGCTGTTGCCAACGCTCTCAGATGCAGATCACAGTTATAAGACTTATTCAGGGCTTCAGACAGACTGGGGTCACAGCAGACAGACCAAGAAGTGGACGTCCACGCACGCATCACAACGCTAGCTGTAGATAGGTAGCTCTGTCATTAAGGAAGGAGGGTAACGCTTCTGTTGGCGTTTAGTGTATAGTATATATGAGCAGAAGGCAGGCCTGAGACTTGATGACGAATCCAGTATATGTATTATATGCTTCAAATCAGGAACAAACAAAATGTAATAAATATCACAGTACTCATTGAATGTTCATTGCATCCTTCAAGGTTATCAATTACATATAAAATAGCATGTCAGACAGAATTTGTCGACATTCACTGAGTTGTGATTCAGCATTTTCACCAACTTCCAATAAAAGCTTAGATTGGTGGCCCTTGGAAAGTAGAAACGAATTTACAGTTGATTTAACTACATTCACAAATATGAACTTGTGACCAAATAATTCCCCATCATGCCATTGTTTACTGGGGAACTGATGTGTAATAATAACATCCTGAAATTGTGTAAAGTAAACTTGCTTGGTATGTCAAATCTGTAGCTTAAACCCCTAACATACAAAATACAGACTAGGAAGAAAACCCTTATCTTAGCGCCTACTGATAGTGTGGGATGCTGAAGTTTTCATCCTCATTCGATGATTAATTTTGTCTGTTTGGAGTGATATAATATTCAAAGTACCATAATTCACGCTGACACATATAATTGACGATGTTTACCTACCTTACTGACAGTGGCCAGTTTGCATTGGCACGTAATTATATGATGATAAGTATATAATTCAATGAATGAAACAAACGACAAAATGTTTATAATTACATAAGTACTAACAGAATAACATTCTGGACAAACTTTTGTCATTTGTCATTTTCAGTTTGTACAAATGCTCATAGTTTGTTGTAACAAACACATACAATGTACACATGTTTCTATGTTAATTTACATTTGTAATCAGGAACTCTACACTACAACAACAAGACAAGATCACCAAAACTTGAGGGGCAAACATCTAAGAACTCACATCCATATTACATTCAGAACGATTACAAAAATAATAAATGACACATAAACTTACATTTGTAGGAAGAGTTACTGGCTTTAAATGTGGCCAATGATTGTTTTGCCCTAGCTGCATCTGGAACAAAGAAGATGAAATAGTTACAAGGCATAACATGCTGTACAGTAGGTACATTAATAGTGAGTTAAATGTTATAATGATAAAATGTGCCATCATTTGTCATAGTGTGTGCTCGTTAACTGGACGTGAAATGTCGTGTAATGGGGTTAGATTCCTGTGAATATCCTACCTCCATCACACCATTGACATCAGTATTGTATTTTGGCATTCATTACACTATAAAATCTTCATATTTTCAAGAGAAGCCCTCTTTTACAGTCAACTGTCCATAATATATAAGTTGCACAGACGATATTATTCAGCTGCCTAATACTTTAAGTGCAAAGGTTGGTGGAATCTGATTGGTTCCTGTGTCTCCAAGTGTCAACGTTTAAAAATTTGCTGAGCTTTTGTCCAGCACCATGTGGTAGTTTGGTACACATTAATTGATCAACATCTTTAGTACAACATTAGGAGATACATAGTATGTTGATTTGATTTGTTGTTGGCTGCCCCTTTGCAAACAATGTGGGAAACAAGAAGATGTAGTGACGTGATTTACTCTATTTTGTTGATGTTAGATGTCTCGGTGTGAATTTGCTGCTTGGAATAAGGACAGTCAGGCTGTTTGTTCTTTAGGTATTATTAGCTATTAAAGAAACACTCCTAAGGTGATCAGCTCAAACAGAATGAAAACTGTTTATATCCAACTGCTGTTGCATCTTGGGCTCATAGTTCCTACTGCCACATTTTGATGTCAAGGTTTGAAGCACATATATAAATATTTTACAGCTGCACTAAGGAATCTTATGGCCTATGCACGGTGGATCTCTAAAGATGCATGTCAAAAATGACTGTAACAAAACCATTGGTATCTTGGAAATAGGAACGTCAGAATGTTAAGTGGAATTCACAGGAACACAATGTAGAATCTTTGGCATTGATAAAAATACAGTCCCAGTAGTGCATCTGACAGGATATGGGAATTTGCGAGCGCACGCACGCACATGCACAGACAAACACATACACACTTATTGGTTGGGAAACGAGCTCAAACATGTGATGTTTGTTGATGAATCAAGAGTACACACATTGTACACACATTAATGTTAATAATAGCCGTGTCCTGGAAATTTCAATGCTCAACATTAGATAAGATGAGTTAAACCAGCCTGTGGTACTGCCTTTCCTTTACCATCATGATTTTCAAGCAAAACAATGCCAGACCTCATGGCACAATTTATTCAAGAGAGCCGTGTATAAAATAATGTTAATAATCTACCTTCATCTGCTTGCCCTCTTGACCTGTTCACATCAAGCATCTCTTAAATAGGGTGGTACAAGATCATTTGACATATACCCCACGCAACAGATATGCTGCAGGTTGTGTTGATTGCAATGTGATTCCGGTGGTTTTAATGTGAAACGGTCAGATCAATGCAACTAAAGTGCCATACCTACATTCAAACTCATGCGAGCCATACCTAGTTATGACATGTCAAACAAATTTTTTTTGTCTTTGTCCTTGTGTGTTGTTGGAATGTGGAATAACGTTGGGTAGCAAAACACTCAGAACCTATAATGGACATGTTACAGTGAAGAAGAACATGTGCTGAAAATGTCCAAAGAGTTAGACAGTATAAATTCAGGATGATGTATCATAGGTAGTATCCTCAGACTTATTAGAAAATTAACTACATATATTTGGACACAAAATATAATTGCAGTGTATAAGCAGTTTCCGTTTCCATTTACACACACAAAGATAAAAAGTGAAAACAGAACATTATCAAAGTGCCCACCGTGTGCGACAACTTTCCAAAAAATCTAAAACATTGTTTCATCTTTGTCAAAATTGTCAGTATACATGACAAAGCCATTAGAATACATTAATCATTAATTGTAACCTGGAAATCCATCAGTTATAATTAGTAACAATAAGTTCAAGTTCAGAATGGAATGATTGTTGCAATGTAATACATGTTTTGATTGGCTGGAAAAAATCACTTCTTGTAATTATACTTTCCCTGCTTACACATATCCAGTCCGAGTTGGTTTCAAGCTATATCATCTTCAATTTCTTTGTATAATGGCTGTAAAATGATTGTCCTCCTGAGAGAGGGTACCTAAGTCCCAAAACATTCAAAGTAAATGTAAACTCTCCACTTTTTTAATCGTAGAATATGTCCCCATGGTCCCTAGTATGGTTATGGTGATCTACCTTTTAGTTGTTGGCAATCTATAGCCTGTTTTATATTGTATTGTCTTGTATAGTTAAACTGTTTTAAATTTAATTACTAGTTTTAAATTTCTATCTGGGATAATCTAGTTGTTTTATTGTCCTTCGTTGACGAATTTTTATAATTTACCTTTAATTATTATTAATCTATAACTTGATTTAGTCACGATATGGCTGAAATATTGCCAAAGTGACTTTAAATTTTAACTCACTCACTCACTCACTCAATTTCTTTGTATCTTTGTATTGTCTCCAGTGTCTGACAACAGAATTCACAAAGAGTCCAGGTATATTTATGTTTTTCCACCTTATGGTCAGAAAGTATACATAATGAAGGGGCCAGCTGACGTTAATGTTTTCTAAGAATGGCTGATGAAATGAGTTTTCAATTGTTTTCGTGGACATGGCTTTGGATAGAACGGAAGAAAGTGTAATTCATTAACCCTGACTCGAAGAATGACCTGTCTTTGAACACTGTTCATTTCATATCCATGTTCCTGTGTTACCTGTACCATTTTTCACATATTTCGTTACCAGGAGAAATGCAAGGTTCTGCAGATAACCTGAATTATGACGAAATAATGATGGCCATGTTTAAAGTCAGATTGAACTCTGTGATCAATTATACTAATTGTAGCTCCATAGGCATTGTAGTTCAAGAGCTGATGAAAACCAAAATGCAGAAAAACTAAAATACTGGATGTATGTGATGGTCTAAGTTTAAACTTTGATAAAAAATCATAACATGCCAAAAAACATACATATTAGGTTGTACTGCATATCACATGCTTGCATATAATATTTCACAATGATGCATACAAAAATTACTGACCAATGAGCAAAAGTGGAAATGTGTTTTACAACCGCCATGTCCACCAAGACTCACTTTGCCCTTGACATGATGTCTTTCCATGAAATATGCAAAAATAGTAATAAAGTAATTGCTTATCAAAAACATCCAAGAGACGTCCTGAAAGTCTTTGAAGAAAATCTGGTAAAACCGTTCTTAAGATATCTTGCTGACAAGCTTAACATACAGGTTAACATGCTGAAATCTTCAAAGTGTCGAAGAGACCTTTGAAAATTATGTGAGTGAGTGAGTGAGTGAGTGAGTTATAATTTAACGTCACATCGGCAATATTTCACCATATCGTGACGAGAACATGTTACATTGTAATGGAATATGTATATATTATAAAACCTGTCATCGAAGGACAGTAAAACAACTAGAATATCACAATTAGATTTAAAACTAGTGTGGAAGGTTAAAACTAATAGCACTATTGGGACAATACAAGATAAAAACAGGCTATAGATCGCCAACAACTGAAGGTCGATCACCATACTAGGGACCATGGGGACTGAAAATTATGTGATGGTCACCAAAATCGACAGGGCATTGTGCCTTCCCTAGATGAAGCTTGATGTCAAACATCATACTGTGATGAACCTAGGTACCAAATATGAACAGAATCTAGTTAACTGTTCTTAAGATATTCCAGTTTGAATGGACGAACAGACGGAGCCCTAAATACGTGGCAGGGGATAAAAATCATGTATAAACTGTTACAAATTATGTGGAAGAAGAAAGTTGTCTCAATCAACATTTATAGCAAAATCATTTTAAAAAAAACACCGTGGTCCGGAAACTATCGAGTGTTAATCAGCAGAATGGACGTCTTGTGACCTGGCGTTAACTGGCAGCTTCAGTATTGTGTCACATATTGCGGGCAGATAACTTTGAGGGCAATATCCTGATCAGTTCATATGAAACCAATTGTCATTGACTTCACGAGGTTAATCTATCGAAAGTATCAAATTCATTTTCAAAATGAAGCATAGTATAATATTGTCGGAATATTAGAACTAAAAGCGCTGAAGTCAGGCATAGCCTTGCTATTCAATTGATATGTTCCATAACACCATTAACACAGATTTTGGTTTTGTTCATATAACAAATGATGTCTATTGCTTTCCACACTAAACGTCTGGTTATTAGTGTCCCAGTTTTGGTGATTATATCGATGCATGATTTCAGCTCCAGGCAGCTACTTTACAAAATTTCGATGAACTTTTACAACCATTTATATGCTGCTGATGATTCTTAGAAATTCAGAACAATCAATTATAGGTAAGGTGTTCATGACTCCAGAACCTAACACATAATATGTTTTCATAAGGCATAAGCATGTAAAGGAAATACTTGCCTTCCATGGGTCTTGATAAACGCCAACATTGGCCACCAGTGTTTCTATGTGAGAAGCTTCTTGTGGCACGAATCTGATGTCTAGCATAGTTTGTTCAATACCAAGCTGCAAACTGGTAGGTGTATCAATCAGTGATTCCAGGCTCCTGTTTATAGCAGGATACATCTGCAGCATCTCAACAACGTCAGCCTTCTCTTGGCCTGTGCAAAATATGTGTCAGTGGAGTCTATAACCTGCTAAAGTCTGGTCAGTAGATTCCATGTTCTTTTGGAGAATGGATAACAAACTGGCACTTCTTTGTTTTACATCAGTCTTCCAGCTGCAGTTTTCTCTTGTCCAAAACGGTCTTGAAGTGATCAAACATGGTGTTAATATCTGATAAAGATTTTGCCCTCATGTCTTCAATATGCTTTTTCTTGGCGTTTTATTTTTTTTCTTATTATTTCTTAAACGATCTGCATGGCCATGGACTTGAGCGAGTTTGGTTTCCAGTTCTGTCTTCTTTGCAGCTGATGCCTCTTCCAGCTGCTGCAAATCATGATTTTTGTGGCCTAGAACTGTACAGGAGACACAGCATAGTTTCTCTTCTGTTGCACAGTAGAATTCAAGGTTGTGTTCCGGGTGGTTAGGACAAAATGACTTTTGCAAATGACGTTATTGGCTGGTCAATAAGGTCCCAAAGAGACATGATGACATGGTCTCTGCTAAGCCGATGACGTCTGTGTACAAAGTCACATTCCTTACACAGATAGCTGTGACATTCTTGACATCGTGAAACAGCCTCATTCCTCCTCAGGACACTCACTGCAATGGGCCTTCTTATCCTGCTTGATCTGCAGGAACTCTACTAGCTTGTCCCTCAGGCCATCAACCTCGAGTGTGTCAGCGTTTCCATGGACTCTTTGGACTTGACGACATAGTGGACATGTGATCTGACCTTTCCTCTCCTTAACAAGAAGCTGCTGAAGACACTGTGTGCAGAAGGCATGGAGGCAGGAGTGGAGGAGACGAGGACGTCGGTCAGTCTGGTTGAAATGTTCCACACACACGGGGCATTCCAAGAATTTGTCTTTCAAGCTTCCAACGTCTACCTTTTCTTGAGGTTCAGACATTCTGTAAGAAAAGAAAACATACTAAGTATATGTAAGCTTACATCACAAAGTTTTCTATTCAAATGGTTGCATCACTTCCTCATAATGCTATTTTGGTTTTATTCTGAATTGAATCATTTCGGGATAGACATATTTTTTTTGGCAATCATATGGTAACAAAACACATGGAATTGCAACAGTGATCTCAACATTTGTGCAGCTGGTTCATCATTAACTGAAGTTATAAGTACTCGATAGTCACTCCATCACCACATCGATGACTACCACTATCACAATTGTAATTAATCCTTACTTCAGCCACTGTCACAGCAATAACCAACATCACTTCATAATCATCACCCCTGCAGTTCTATACAATCATCGCTGACATCATTACCATCAACCCTACCACCATCTTCACAACCCGGTTCTATCAATCGGCTGGTCACGCCATGCCCTGTGCATAGAAAGTATTTTGCACATTTGAATTGTTGGGTATTGGTAATTTTGATTGTATAGTATACAAATTATTGTTAAATGTATTGCCTAGAGTCCTGTGCCAGAAGGCGGGTGGCTCATGGGCCAATCTGGTGATGTCGACCTCTAAATTCTGTATGTCTCCAAGTTTTGTTAGAGCCGAACCAGCCTGACATTATATTTGGTAGACAGATATAGCTATTTATGTTGTATTTACTGGAGTATATCACCCCTGTATCCCTGGTGTTTGCATGCTGGATATCCGGTGCTATTAGACACTGTCCATGTTGACACTCCGTGGTGGGTGGGGAGCAGGGGTGCTGAATCACATTCCTTTCATCATGTCACAACAACAAGCTGGTTCATCTCGCCATGAAAAGAAACGTCGTATTGACGACATAGATCAATCAAGTGACCAAATAAATACAACTGTTGATTCTTGGAATCGGTTTTGGTAATAGAAGCTGCGGATTTTCTTCCTATCAAACTAAATCCTTTCGCCATTTCAAAGGCTATTTCTGGAATTTGTGGGGAGGTCAAGAATGTTACTCGTCTCCGTAGTGGATCACTTTTAGTTGAATGTTTACGGAAACAACAGTCCCTCAATCTGCTGTCAATCAAGACCTTTGCAAACATAGAAGTTACCGTCTGCAAACAGAACATTAAACTCTTGTCGTGGCATTGTGCGTGACAGGGCACGGTGTCTCTCTGATATGTCCGAGGGAAGATATTGCCGCAGAGCTGCAGAATCAGGGAGTTTCAGCGGTAAAACGGTTTTACTGTTAAGCAAAAAGAGGGTAACGTTATTAAAACTACCACCTATCTGTTGACCTTTTTCTCGCTCCTCACTTCCAACATCTATCAAAGCAGGCTATTTCAACATCCAGGGGGTGGATGTGTATGTCCCCCAATCCACTCCGATGTTACAAATATCAGCATTTCGGACACGGCTCACAATCTTGCCGAAACTCTGTAGTCTGTCATCGTTGTGGCGATCGTCATGACGATTCTTGATTGCGACAGAGAGTACAAATGTGCTAACTGTAATGGTGCTCATCCTGCGTCATCGAAAGCTTGCCCTGTGTTCCAGCGTGAATCGCAGATTATGAAACTTAAATGTGAAAAAACGTTTCATACCTGGATGCAAAAATGCTAACTCAAACCTCTACTCCATCAAACGGTACCTACGCTGCGGCAGTTACTCGCTCTGTGGCAGTGTCTTCTACTGCGTGCCAGACTGACTTGACTTGGGTCAAGTCAGAGAAACCTCTTCGTCAGCTTCAACTATTGAACCTACTGTCACAGTCACTCAATCTTACGTCTGGTGCCTCAGACTGATGAAACTCAATCTGAAACTTCATCGCAAACATCTGTTTTGCAGCCAGCCGTGCATAAACTTAAAAAGAAGAAAGGAAAAGGGATTACCAGGGATAAACTACCTGTTGTTCCTTCACCTCCAGAGGTACCTTCTTGAAAATTCTTCATTTGGACCTTTAGATATGGAGGTGTTACTCCGTCCTCACAGGACAGGCGGAGAGCTTTTATACTCCTCGCATTCACGTGAGAGATCACCAATTGAGCCGCCATGACTCAATTATCTACTCTAATGCAATGGAATTGCAGGGACTCAGCGAAATAACTTCAATGAGATACAACTGCTGATACAAGTGATATTCAGCCGGTCAGCACTCTGTCTCAAGAGACATATTTAAAACCCCATAGATAACTTTACTTTGAGACAATACAACGATTATCATTCGTTTTCTCCCCGGGAGATAAAGCAACTGGAAAGTACTTATCGACTAAAATGACAGGGGTATAATACATAGCCCTGTGCCCTTCATACTCAATCTTCTCGTAGGACTGTAGCTGTTCGACTTTGACCCTGCAAATTGCTTTGACTCTGTGCAGTTTATATAGTCCTCCATCTTCTGATGTCCGTCTGTCGGATCTTCAGAATCTGTGGCATCAGCTTCCAAAGCCATGTAATATCATCGGCGGCGGATCTGAATGGACACAATCCAGTTTTGGGGGAAGTGTCCATACCAACAATAAAAGGTAAAATCCTTGGAGGAATTTATATCAGATAATAACCCCTGTATTTTCAATGATGATTCAGCCACTTATTTACATCCAGCTACGGGAACATATTCTTCCCTGGTTTATCACTTACTGATTCAACCTTATATGATGAATTTGAATGGATGGTACATGATGACCTATGTGGGAGTGATCACTTCCCAAACCATTCTCAAAAACATCAAGCCTGGTGATGATCCACCTGTATTCAGAAGGAACTTTGCCAGGGCTGATTGGGCATTGTATAAGACTTCTGTGTGTTGTTGAACACATTACGCATGATCTTTTTAGGAACAGTGAAGATCCTTTTACAGTCTTTTTCGATATTTTAAATGACATTGCTGACAAAACAATTCCACAGTCCTCTGCAACTCCACACATACGTAAACCATGGTTTAATAATGAATGTAAACAGGCCAGAAAGTTGGGAAGAAAGGAAAAATATTTTCCTACAGTCCATAATTTTGGAAAAAGTTAAAATATCAAATGCCAAGGCTCGACGTGCCTTTAAACAAAATAAGCGTCAGTCTCTTGGAGGAATTATGTTTCCAAAATAAACTCACGTGTACACCTATGTCCAAGGTGTGGAACATGGTCCAAAAGAATTAAGCGGCAAAGGTTCTAATTTCACTGTACACACCATCTGTGAAGGATGGTGATAATCTCTTTAACTAATAAAACTGACATAGCAAAATAAAATTAGCGAAACTCTTACCAAACATTCTTCATCATCATCAAATTATGTCCCTGAATTTCAAAACACTACAGAAACAACAGGAGAAGAAAAGAATAAATTTTAACTCAGACAATGGTGAAGATTATAATGAATTATTTTCACTCCATGAGCTACATACTGCTCTTTGAGCAAGCTCATGATACAGCTACAGGGGCTGATGATATCCACTATCAGCTCCTAAAGCATTTGCCCCGGAATCGTCAAAGTTTGGAAACACTGCTAAATATATTTGATATGATATGGACTACAGGAATTTCCCAACTTCCTGGCGTGATGCCATTGTAGTCCCAGTACCAAAATCCTGGCAAGGATCATACAGATCCGTCTAATTACAGACCGATATCGCTAACTAGCTGTGTCTGTAAAACCATGGAACGTATGGTGAATAATAGATTAACTTGGTATCTTAGAACCAACAACCTAATAACCAATATTCAATGTGGTTTCAGGAAAAAAATCGTAGTACCATTGATCATTTGGTACGATTAGAAGCCTTTGTTAAAAAATGCAATCGTAAAATAAACAACATGCCGTATCGATATTCTTTGATCTCGAGAAAGCATACGATACCACCTGGAAGCATGGCATTTAAAAGGATTTACATGATTTTGGTTTGAGAGGTTGCCTGGCTTCTTTTATATCACAGTTTTTTAAAGACAGGCAATTTCAAAGTCCGATGGGTCTTCAACCTCAATCTCTGACTATTACAATCAGTGGATCAGGGTGTCCCTCAAGGCAGTATTTTGTCTGTCACTCTTATTTAGCATTAAGAGATTAACAGCTTATCCAAGGTTTTAAAACGATTCAATTGATGGATCACTTTTTGGATGACTTTTAACATTTCTTGTCGTGGTAAGAATATGCATACTATTGAACGTAATTACAGTTGTGTTTAAATAAAATACATAAATGGTGTCTTGAAAACGGCTTTAAATTTTCTAAATCAAAACCAATTGCATACACTTCTGCCGTAAATATAAAGCCACATAAAGACCCAGAACTGTTTTAAAATGGCACTCCCATCAAGGTTGTAAAGAGGCCAAGTTCTTAGAGTCTCATTTTCGACTCCCATTTAACTTTTCTTCCGCACATCAAATCTCTCAAAACTAAATGCCTGAAGGCTGCATTTGATTTTATTGAAAGTCGTGCTCCAGTCTGGCGGGAGGGATCAAGCCACGCTCCTACACCTTTTACAGATCACTTGTCCGCTCAAAGCTTGATTTTATGGCTCCAATCGTATATGGTGGAGCCCTGCAAAAAGCAACCTAAACTCTTAGATCCAGTCCACCACCAAAGGGTTCGAGACTTCGTCTTGGGTCCTTCAGAACATCTCCTGTCGACAGTCTCTAATACCGAGGCAGATGATTCCTCTCTCTTACCCAACGCCGTATAAAATTATCATTACAGCCATAGTATACATGAAGCTATATTCTTAACGAGTCTAATCCTGCGTTTCATCAGCATCTTCACTCCTCTTTATGAGGATTTTGTATAACAAAAAGCTCTCTCTCTGCTTGTTCCAGGCCTCTTGGGCACAGAATTAAACCATTCCTTTCTGCTGCCGGCATTGAGCTGGGTAATATATCTCCTTCTCGTCTTCTTCTTCTCCTCCTTGGCAATTGGTGAGGCTGTGACGTTGACTTAACATTAACCAACATTTAAAAATAGAAACTAATGATTTCCACAGTATAAACAAGAATTTAGTCAATTACGAAATAAATATAATACCT